TTATGTGGGGTGGTGGTAGCTGCGGCCCGCTTCTCAGATTTTCTCATGACATACAATCACACAGAAATCTACTCCTTCATGTATCTTCCTATTAGTACCATATGGGCAGGCAGTTTCTAACCATTTGGAGACAAATGAGAGCTCATTAAAGGATGGCAGAGGGTCAGAAGGGCACTTTAGAATATGAAAAAAAAGGTCCTTACTAAAGAACATTTAATCATAAGTAGATAATCCTTCTCAAAGGGAAGGCAGTGCGTTTGTCTCATTCTCCTTGGCAGTTAACCTTTTGCATTTTATGCTTGTGACATTTCTGTCAGGCGCTCTGTGTGCTCCAATTGAAGTCAGAGGTCTTTGGACACAGCTCAAAAAGTAGCAAGTGTCTGGAGGGCAGCTTGATGTAAACCATTTTGGCAGGAGTCATGGAGAACAGCTGGGCAGCTGCATAGGAAAGAGGAATCTAGAATGTGAATGACATAGTTCCTTGGGATACTTCTGAGGGTGCTTGGTTGGGGGATGGTGGTCATTTGGGGGTACAGGCTATTGGATGGAGGGAATCAACAGACGTGACAAAAGAGGATTTCTAAGCCAGCCTATAAATGTATGCACATGGATGTCTGGACTAAGAAGTCAGCACTGGATTTGCACCTGCGCCTATAATCAGGAAGTAAGTGGTTCAGTGGTCACAGTAAGAACAGGGCTCATCTGGGAGACAAATTGAAAGTCTATTTAAGCAAAGTGATTCAGAAGGAGTTGTTCAATATCATTTTCCTCCTGGGAACATTTCTTCCTAAGGTATTAATCAGGGCACCAGGCAAAATACTAATATTGTTCCAAAGCTGAGAATGTGTCTCTGAGACAAAAACCATGGAAACCTACTTATTTTCTGAAATGTTGCTTCTCTGAAAGAAAAACTGAGAGGATGAATAAGCAGGAATGCTTTACTTAAAGGTTAGGTGTGAGTCAGGGAACCTCTGAGTGTTTTCAATATGGCAGAGAGTCATCTGAACGTCTATATAAAATGATGCATGTGAAAGAGTGAAATCATAGCATGGATTGGAAATAAAAAGTGCTGTAAAAGGGTAGCATTTACAGGATTTGACTCCTGTAAAAGTTTTCTGCAGGATCTGAGGCATAATTTATTTCTATAATTAAGACTTCTAATTTGATTTTAAATCTTGGGTCTTAAGTTTTTAGCTGTAGGAGTCAGGGCAAGTCAGCATCTAAAAATGTCATTTTTGTCACCCATTAAAGGTTATCTACCTCATAAGGTGATTGTTGGTATTCAACGAAATAATCTATATGAAGGGCTTAACACAGTGCCTGGTCTATAACACACACTGTAAAAACTAACTGCTGTTATTAGCATTTCAGTCTTCAAGCCATAAAGAAAACCCATCAATTATTTCCAAATGGAAAGAATCCTACTTGGGTGCTAATCTCAGTTTACTCAAAGAAAAAGATTCTTTGTACTGGCATAAGGAAATGAGAGATCTTGGCCAAAAGATAAAAAGCCCCTGATAAATCTCCAGGCAGTGTCCTTCTTTCAATTGTTTTTGACTCCTAGTAAGGAATAGGATCTAATATTTTTTGAACACCTACATGTATCAGGCACTCAAGAAGTTGCTTCACTGATAAAGTCCTGTGAAGTCACTATAATTATCCCATTATTACAGACAAGGAAACTGAGGCCCAAAGAGATGAAAGAACACATCCAAGCTTCTGTATGTACTATGGTTGGCAGAAATAGGGACTTGAATGCCAAAGGCCACACTCTTTCAGTTCATCTCACAAGACTGTGGAAGTATAGTAGTAGGAATGAAAACTCCAGGGGCAGTCTGGCCCTGCTACAGACACTGAAGGAATAGCAACGTTTCTATTTTGATGTTCCCATTAAAATCTTATCCTCTAGCTGAGAGGCCTGGCAGATGGCAAATGTCACCCTTGAGCAGTCATTGAAGTCAAGTGATAAACACATTCAGGGCTGGGGATGCTTCCCCTGCTTAAGCAAGGAAGATGGCTATGCCTGGCTCGACCCCATTGGTTGACTTGGTTGCTTCTTGGAGCTAACAGGAAAATGTACTTTATTTAGCTGGTAATACTAGCTCCTTTAAGTGCCACAGGTAGTTGTTTTGGAGAAAGATTAAATCTAAAAACACGAACCTGAAGTTGAGCAGCTTTAGAAATATCTGAGAAGAAAATGTTCAGTTATCAGGTAAAGCTGCTCTGGCAACATGATTTCTACGATGTGGGGCAGTAGTGGAGGCTGCTTAATACAGACAAGGCACAGATATTTTTTTTCTCTGTATGTTGCTTCAGAACATTCTGTTCTCTGCACATTTTTAACAAGATAAACATGGCTTTGTGGGTCACAGTGATGCAAATTCTTTAGTAACTCTTGGCAAATACCTTTGTAGGGCCATTCCTTAAACAAGGCAATTTGCTGGGAGGTGGTAGGTGTTTCAGCATTTCCAGGACATTTCCACTTACAGCACTCCTTTAGTTTTACAGCAGGAGAACACTAAACCTGAGTGGTTTTGAGGCCCATGTTTACCCATGCTTCTGTGAACTCGACTAAGTCCTCTATCCTTGCCAAGCCTATTTTGCCGTGTCTGCCACGGAGGTGTCAGTGCTTTCTAGGATTGCTGTGGGAATTAAATGGCTTAATGTAAGTGCAAGTGCTTTGCAAATTGCACAAGGGCACTTAAAAATGAATCATTCTTGTTACTATTATTTCTATTTAGGGGTTGACATCATTCGGTGTTAATAAAGGAGCACTGATGGTTAATGACATCCTAAAGATCCAAAACAAAGTTGTAGTGAAGTCACAGGCATGAAAAGCACAGTGTAGAGAATCTAGTCAATAATATTGTAATAACATTGTATGGTGACAGATGCTGACTATGTTCATCATGGTGAGCACTGTGTAATGTACAGTTGTTGAATCACGATGCTGTGTTCCTGAAACTAATATAATAATATTAGATGTCAACTATAGTTCAATTAAAACAAAACAAAAAACCCTTATAATTCATAATAAGGTGCCAGAAATTGGGTAATGTATAGACACGTAACTAGTAATTTAATATAGATATTAGAGACTTCCTATAAAAGATAATAACTCTTCAGACCCTAGAGTGTGGTCTGGAATGCTGTGTGCTGTCACTCTATAGGCAGCATAGCATAGTCAAATGAATTAGTTTCTGATCCACCACTTCCTAATTGTGTGAATTTTTCAACCTCTGCACAAAAAGTGAAGATGATGACACTGTGTCAGGGTTATGAAGATTTAATGGGATGACATACGTAAAGTATCTGGTGGGTAATATGGCTGGTAAATATGGTTTCTCTACTTCTTCTGGCTCCTCTTTCTCCTATTGTTTTTTTTTTTTTTTTTGTCAGATAGGAGCTCTAACTAGGCAATCCACGGTCAATACCGCTAGAAGCTTATGTGCTTCTCAGAGCATTCAGGCATGGACTGAAAGCAATCAGTAGAACCCTAGTAAATTCTCTGGGATTACTTACAATGCTGCCCAAACTTGTTAATGGAGTCTATGTAGCCACTTCAATTATCATCAAGTGCAGAGAAAATTGTAGGTGTTCAATAGGGGCAAAGATTCTTAATGAGGAGGCTCTGAAGGGAAGCATGGAGGTGTCTACAGAGTGCAGGGGATGCAGGGATTAAATCCAGAACTCCTTTGGAGAAAAGGATTCTGTATTGACGATGAGAAAGTAATCATCAGCTAAGCCAGACTTTGGTAAGAAGCTCTTGCTAAGGGATGCCTTACAGAGGATCACGCTTTCCAAACTTTAGAGCTGATTTTTTGAGTTATTTTTAAGTATTTGTTATCTACTATTCAGAAGCACTTCACATCTTTGAGCAACCAACGGAGGAGCTGTAAATGTAAGCATTTCAATAATTACAATATAACTTTTAAAGAATTGTTAATTTAAAAACATCTCAATGAGTAGTCAATGATTTCAGCTCTTAAGTATACAAGGGCATGAAATTAGGCAAGCAAAATGAAAATCAGTTTAAAAAGGAAGCTTTTTTCCATGTTGTCAATTTGAGGCCTAACGCAATCTGTCCGTATAGTGTGCTGAGGATGGACAGAATGTGGTCGTTTAGCTATGGGATATTTTCACCTTGCAGGTCTTTTCCTATAGTTCTCACCAAAGAGAACAAAGTCGCGGTGAGTGAGATTTTGAGAGCTACCTATGTTTCAAAGATCCATAGGCTTTAAATTGTTGTCATTATTATGCCATAAGAAATCCCATCTTTTTTCCATGCATAGATTAGAAAATGGTTCTGACATTTCCCACATCTCTTTCTTCCATGCTATCTGTATTTTGTGATAATACTAATAACCCATCTTCTATTCCAGCTTTTCAATTTTTTTCATATCCATCACCTCATTTTAAGACAAAGCAATTTAAAAACTTTCCTTGTTATGTCATAAGTTGCTGACTTAGTACCGATGGTGTGTGATGGGCAGGGAAGGACATTGCGAAGTGAGGTCAACACTTGTGACCCAGTAATTAGGGAAGTAGAAGAGAGAAAATGCTAGTAAAGTATTGTGGTGTCTTCTCTTCCAAAGTATGGTTGTGACTGGGGAAAGCCTGGGAGAAGGGTGATGGAGGCACAGTGTAAACACACCTGTAGGGCTGTCACCTGTCCTAAGGTGAGAGTGGGGGATGGGGCTGGGAAGGACTGGTGCCAGTAGCTGAGCTACAATATACAAAATACATATATTTTTCATTTGCTCAATAACTACAAAAGATATTATTACTACCGTTTTATAGATGAGGAAATAGGCCTGGAGAGCTTTGGGTAAGTCCCTATTATGTATTTAAAAAATAAATCTGTTGCCTTCTGGTGTTGTCTTAGCCTTTATTAGAAATCCAAATGGAAGATCTGATTTTGTCTCTAAAAATAAGAATGGCTCTTATATATGCAAAGTCAAACTAAAAGAAGTTGTGGAGTGTCTCAGTGAGGGTCATACCTGAGAATACTTTGTTCTAGAACCTGGATCTGGTGCTGGTCTTGTTGATTTTGCTTCTTCATCTCTTCCTGTTCTTTTCCGTTGCTGACTCCATCTAGAAGCCATTTCTCCCTTAAGGCCTTTTTCTGATATCAGGAAACATAAAGATGTTTTTATATCAGTCAACAATTTCCAAAATCTCTGACTGCTTTGAAATATTTTGAATTTTAATATGGACAGAGTAAAGAGAAATGATTTTTTCCCACTGCTTTGCCTGAATAAATCTGGTATTTTCCTTCAGTGCACACTTTGTGACTCCCTTCCAAAGCCAGTTTATGTATCTAAATTCTATTATCTTTCAAGTTCTAGTTCAGGTCCCTCCTTCTCTGTGAAACTCTCCATCCTCTCCCCCATGCTCACCCTCAGAGAACTCTCTTTTCTCTGAATCATGCAGCACTGTCTGTTTACATATACTGTATGTCTACCAGTTGTACGGGGACCTTATCATGTGATACCTTACTATTATTTATTTGGTTAATGGGTATACATCTTGTGTCTTTGAAGTGGAAGCCTCTTTTAAGCCATTTTTTATTCATCTCAATGACAGTGTACAGCTCATGTTCCAAAAAATCTTTGTGGGATTATTTGAAATGATGGGCAAAACAAGAAATTGCTATTGTATCTTAAACCATTCAATGTTAGTCTTAAGTGGTGTGGTCAGCATTTATTGCTTTGCCTACTCAATACCCCTTCTTTTTTTCTGAGAACCATCCTGGTTCCAGATACCCAAGTTCAGCACAGATTACTTGTTCCAATAATGTGATGCACAAAGTTCACTGATCTGTCTAAATATTGGTGAGTTGAATTTTTGTTAACTTTAATAACAACAAAAACCTTATGTTTTATCACATGCAAAAAAACCCCCTTGAATTTGCATGAAGGAATTACAATCCTATACTTTGCCTGTAAGAAAACTTAAAGCAAATGAGACATGTGTTAATTTTGGAGGGAACTTAGCTAGCATCCTATCCATGTCTTACTTTGGAACTGTTAGATATTATTTCAGAGTTTGAGTTTCTCCTGAAGAAAACTGTTCTCCTGGGCAGCCTGGGTGGCTCAGTGGTTTAGCGCCACCTTCAGCCCAGGGTGTGATCCTGGAGACCCGGGATCGAGTCCCACGTTGGGCTCCCTGCATGGAGCCTGCTTCTCCCTCTGCCTGTGTCTCTGCCTCTCTCTCTCTCTCTCTCTCTGTATCTCATGAATAAATAAATAAAATCTTAAAAAAAAAGAAAACTGTTCTCCCTATATATCTAACTACCTATAAATTATTTGTTCAAAAATTGCTTATTGGGGATTGACTGTTTCTAAAATGGTGAGGAGAGAAGAATAGAAACTTTGTATTTTCTGAGATTTCTTTCTCTTACACCACGATTAAAATGAGAGCAAGTAAAAAGAACTGGGGAGGATGCTAGGATTAATGGTACTGGAATATAAATACCTTTGAATTTTAAACAAAATTTAAATAAGGTTGACTGTGGTAGGTAATTATCAAGTGATGGTTATTTTAAGTGAGGCAATGGTTTCAAGACAATAAGAAACATTACAGTGATTACAAATATATATTCTATGGAATTATAGTTTTTAGGACTGATAAAACCTGGACTGCTCTAGTTGAAGCATTGAGGGGGCCTGGCAGCCATGGATGCACAACAGTTTGAAAGCCACCAGACTGAAAAACGACCTTGTTCCAGCTAATCATATTTGTGCTGGCCTTTTCAGATTTTCAGGCAATTGCTTGTGGACAACACACCCCATAAGAGTGGTTTGTAGCCAGAGATTATTTTCCTCAGTGTTATCTTAACCCTTAATTATAGCTGTTTAGCCATTTGTAAAAATGTTCTCCTACAGACACAGTTAAATGTTATTAATAAAGGTCAAAGATTTATCACTTGAGATCAAAGATGCCAAGAAAATCTTAGTATACTATCATTTTAAGAATTTACCTTGATTTTAATTTATTTTTCTTTGATGGAATGTGATGATAACTAATGCATAGTAATGAAGACAGATGACACCTCTCAAAGTAAATTATAGTCCTTACAAACCACCTACGAGGACAGTTTCAGTCATTTACATCCATATCACTATAAGAAGCATTGAGATGGGATGGTTTTATGTTGCTGAGTTACAGAGAACAGAGAATAATTCTTGTGATGTGATTATTTGAACTTGGGGCTATAGCCTTGGTTCTTAGTGTGGCTAGGAATAAGAATAATTTTAATTTTAGCCTTACAGAACTTTGTTCATAATTCACAAAAGGTCATTTACCTCTGAGATCTTTGCCAGAAGTAAAATGACAAAAATGAATGTGTGAATCAACTCTCTGCCTCTGAATATAAAATATGCAATTTGGATGTGCAGTTAAAACGATACGGTTCAATCACATACTATAACAAATAGTTGTTTTGTTTTTAGGTCACAGTTTAGACTTGTGCTTTCATCTATAAGGTCGATGAAAAATGTATGTCACCACAATGATATTCAGAATCAAAAGCCATCATAACTGGGATCCCTGGGTGGCGCAGCGGTTTAGCGCCTGCCTTTGGCCCAGGGCGTGATCCTGGAGACCCGGGATTGAATCCCACATCGGGCTCCCAGTGCATGGAGCCTGTTCTCCCTCTGCCTGTGTCTCTGCCTCTCTCTCTCTCTCTCTCTGTGACTATCATAAATAAATAAAAATTTCTATTAAAAAAAAGCCATCATAGCTAAGTGAAAATATAAGTGACATGTGGGTAATAGATCTTTGGGCAGTTTTTTTTAGGGAAAGGTTTTCCTGAAGCATTTCGCATGCTATATTACAGTAGACCTTAGGAACAAATTAATTTTTCATACAAATCAAGTGGACTTCCAGAAAAGAAAAGTTTTCTAAGCTAAGTGTATTTTGTGTTTCTTGGCAGCAGACTGTGATCATGTAACTAGGCAAGGAGCAGCATAGTGTACAAATCTCAAAACTGTTTGAAAGCTAGAATGCTACTCATGTCCCCCGAAACTCCCTTTCTAGTGTGTCATTGGTATAACTGATTGCCAGGTTCCAGAGCCAGAGTATATCAGAACGAGTTGCTACCATTACTTTGCAATATATGTACTAATGATACAGAGGGGTCCTTTGTAAATGTTTGTGTTTGTATTTAAAGTCTGTCACTGAAGTGTAATGAAACAGCTCGCAATTGGGAAAGTGCTCAGGACAGTCAGTAGGGTAGAGACAGATGGATAAAGAAGAGAAGAAGAGAAAGACTGGTTAACTGTAGAGACAACAGAGCTTTCTTGACTTGGTGAATGTATTGTACAATGAACTTTATAAATACTTCAGGGGTGCCCGAGTGGTGCAGTCGGTTAAGTGACTGACTCTTGGTTTTGGCTCAGGTAGTGAGCTCGGGGTCATGAGATCGAGCCCTGCGTGGGGCTCCACACTTAGTGTGGGGTCTGCTTGAGATTCTCCCTCCACCCCTCTCACTCTGCTCTCTCAAATAGAGGAATCTTTAAAAAATATTTCTGCACATCTCTGAACCCCATTTGTAATGGTGCCCAGTTGCTGTTTGGTACAGGCAACCATTTTCTGCAAGACACTATTCAAACAGCCCTGCTTTCCTCTGTGTTCCCTTTGCGGTCCATGCCTCGCATGCGGTGCTCATCACAGTGGGAATGTCATTGCAGGTTTCAGTGTCAGTTATCATTTTAAGGACACAGGTCAAACTTTATTGTGTCTTCCTAGTGTCCTGCTTAGTACCTTACACATAATGGGTATTTAATAAGTATTTTTTACTAAAAGGCCCTCTATACATCTATATGAATCCTACTTATCATTTAGACTCGGTTTAAATCCCACATCTTTAATAGATCTGCTTTGACCACCTCAGATTGAAGAGTACACCTAATCTTGTTTTTGTTTTTAAAGATTTTATTCATTTATTCATGAGACACACACACACACACACACACACACACACACACAGAGGCAGAGACACAGGCAGAGGGAGAAGCAGGCTCCTTGCGGGGAGCCCGATGTGGGACTTGATCCCAGGACCCTGGGATGACTACCTGAGCCGAAGGTAGACACTCAACCCCTGAGCCACCCACCTGGGTTCCACACCTTATATTCTTATTTATTTTTATTTTTATTTTTAAAAAATATTTTATTTATTCATGAGACACAGAGAGAGAGGCAGAGTCACAGGCAGAGGGAGAAGCAGGCTCCATGCAGGGAGCCCAATGTGGGACTCGATCCCAGGACTCTAGGATCACAGCCTGGGCCAAAGGCAAATGCTCAACCACTGAGCCACCCAGGCGTCCCATATTCTTATTTAAATTAAAAAAATATTTTAATTTGTCCTAATTATTTTATTTAATCCTGAGTTCCCCGCTAGGTTGCAGGCAGAAGGGCTACAGCCCTCTGGGGCCACTGTTAGTCTGTGTGGCATTAATATGATAATCAGGAAAAAGTGTATCTCACCTCCACCCCTTCTGGTCAGTGCACAGCTCGGGAAGATGGATAGCACCTTTGTGCAGAGAAAAAGAAATGTTCTCCTTCAGACAGAAGGAGTCCTATGCCAGCATGCACAGTTCCAAGGGAGTGTGGGCAGGGTTTTAGCACCCCTTTCTCAGGTATCTTTGTGCAGTACACAATCTGCACAACAGTGTATGGAGATATAAAGCATGATAAATGTTCTGATTGGGTTGGATTAGACAAAGTCTCCTGGGTTCCAGAAAGCAAACCTATAGGGAAGATCATGTATTATTTTAGGACTGGTTTTGGCAAGTATTGAAAAAAGGTGTCACCTCAGAAACAGACTTTTCAGCGAGTCAGGGTCAGAGCTTTCTTTTGTCAAACTTGCTTCCTACAATGAACTCAGGGGATGTTTAACCCTTTCTCCTACTGTGAGCTCTACTGTTTGGCTACCCACTCTATAAGGACCGTAATTGCTAATGCTAGAGAGCTATCCATTTACTCAGAAGTAGTCATTAGTTTATTGTGAGACTCAAAGTGTGTGTGAGTATGTGTGTGTGTGTGTGTGTGTCAGAGTCAGAGAGAGAGAGAGAGAGAATAAGCACTGGTTATGGAATTAGAAATGGCTTAGCTCAAAAATTACTGTGGATTTGACTTTTGATCAGAGTTTCACCAAAATAACTTGGTAAAATTTGTTTTAGTTCCATTGATTTTTCTGGTTATACACACTGCATTTCTTGGCTCTATCTACTAGTCGCATAAATTCAGGATGACATACCGCAAGGACAGCAGGCTAAATCTACTTTGAAATTATCCATCAAACATCGGAAATGTCAATTTATATAGGAGCAAAGAAACAGAATCCAGAGAGCAGAGGCTAATTGGAATCCCAAATTATGTTTCTTTTCAGAGGTGGCTACTTGATCCATCAGAAAGCCGAGTGAGCTGAGTTCGGCAGGTTTATCTTAAGTGTGTAGACCCCACGAGTGTAAGGCATTGTTTCATTGAGGGATTAATTAAATCTATTGATAGCAGCCTTGCTAGATAACTAGCTTCCTGCTTGGGTCTGTTCACAAGGAGCTCCTGTTTGTCATTTGGTTGCATCCTGTGGCTAAGCTGCGCAATGAAATGTTGAAACTCAATGTGCTTTAATTACAAAATGACCACACCCATGGAAGATGTAAAGTCTGATTTTAAAAATGGAGGTTTATTTCTGGTTATGATCTCATGTTTTGTCAAAACAAAAAAACAAAGGAAAACAAAACTCCCCAAACATACTCAAACAATATTGGATTCATTGCACTGAGCTTTTAAATATAAGCATCCTTGACTCGGCCAGACAGTGTCTGTTGTACACCCCCTGGGGGAAGGCTGGCTTTTCATTGATTTCAAAAGGGACTTCCTAGCTGGATTGGTCCCTAGGGATGTTAAGCAAGACTTTCGGGGCCAAATTAACAAGGCTGAATTCTCAAGGTTACCCAAGAAAATGAGGAAATTCAGTAGTAAAAGATAAAAGTAATACAAGCATGTTTTCAATTTTCTACATGTTTACCAGAAGGTATTAATCTCATATGCAAATATTATGAGCTCCTTGGCCTCCTCTATGGTTATTAGGGTGTTAGTAGAAATATGTTGAATTTTTTTCCTTCCTAGAGCATCTTTACCATAGAAATTTTGAGTGCTAGTAAGCTATTTGAATACAAAATCATTGAAATGAAATGAAATTCATAAATTACCTTCAAATGCTGGTGCTTTAGTTTTTCTTCTTCTATTCTCAGCCGCTTCTGTGAGATTTCTTCCTGTATTTTTCTTTTATCCTGAAATAAAAGAAGTTCCAGCATAATCAACTTTTTCAATTTGCTTAAATATGTTTCCTTGGGGTTGTCGTCATTACCGAATGGCTGGCCAGCAGTATGCTCTTGGCACTGGTAGGAAGCTGCTTTGGAAACTCAGATTTCAAAGCGACGGAGGGCAAAGTGAGACATTCAAAGCGTTTTGCTGGTGGAAAACGATATAAGGTGCTTTTTCAAAGAGAACTTGAAAATATTTTAATGTCTTTCCTTCCTTCCCATTAATCTCGCAAGATTGAGCTGTTGAGTGATGCGATGGAAAAAGTGAATTTTAAGGAGGGAGTTTTGAAATAGGCAGGAGGAAAGCCTGCGAGGAGGGAGACTGTTCCTGGCACAGGGGTGAAGGAACCGCCGGGGAAAAGGTCTGCTTATGTGGGAAAACAGGATAGCTAGCCTACAGAGCATTCAAAAACTAGAAAGCTAGAAAGTGGCAGTGTTTCTTCCTTGTATAACTTGCTATGTGGAGATAGAGAAAAAAGAGTTCAGATAATGCTTGTTAACAGTAAGAGGGCTTTAAGCTGCGGTTAAAAAATAATTCATGGGGAGATAGAGCCTCTTTCACCGAGTTTAAATTGCATTACCTCAAAAAACCCAGAAAGCATACCTGTTAATGGCCAGGGGTTGTACTTTTTAGAAAATACAGCGTATGTATTAAATAGCCTGGGTTTGATTTCTGGCTCTGCCACTTACGAGCTCTGTGCCCTTGGACAAAAATCCTTAACTTCTCTGTGCCTCAATTACCTCATCTGAACAATGAGGATAATACGAGAATCTACCTCATAAAATATGAGCATTAAATGTATGTGAAAGTTCCTAGCACAGCGTTTGACGCAGAGTGCCCTGTATTTGTTTAATAAAATTAAGTAAATAAGACATAATCTGTTAATCACAGAAAGCAGCACACTAATTCTGATAATGCTTCCATAAGCCTGAAATGTTTTAGAGATTCCCTCTCTGGAATTGTTTGAGGCATTTTATGAACTATGCAAAAGGCCCTTATTTCCTTATTATTATTATTTTTTTTGGCCAGAGGTGACATTATCTTCCATCTATTTTATAAGAGTGGGTTTTAAATCTGCACTCAAAATTAAAAACTCCCCAAGGATAAAAATTTGTTGCTAATGAAGACAACTAAAAGAATTTGAAGCAGGCTCAGAAGGTAATTTAGAAGGAAGAGCTCCAAAGATACGCAGCAGCATTGTTGAAATAAGTGCATGGCTTCCTGATGCGACTCCTTTGAAGATAAAAAACCTTTTTTTTTTGGATGTGTAAGTTCAGGTACATTTGTTGAAGAAAAACAACATGTTGCTCTCTAGCTTTGTCATGTTTTTCTTTGTGTGTTAGAAGAGTATATGACTTCATCAGTATCCCACTTTGTAAATTTCATAAGCAGCTCTTTTGAAAAGAAAAAAAACCCACTAACGAGGCAATGAGGGTGGGTCTTCATATCACTTCTGTGGATCAAATCTTGTCTTTAGGAACAAAAACTCTGATAACCTGTGAGTCTCTTCCACTGTATCTAAAGGCTGTAATTGAGCAAACATTGGAAATATTTTATTTTTTTAAAGATTTTTATTTATTTTTTCATGAGAGATACAGAGAGAGAGAGGTGCAGAGACACAGGCAGAGGGAGAAGCAGGCTCCATGGCTGGGAGCCCGACGTGGGACTCGATCCCAGGTCTCCAGGATCAGGCCCTGGGCTGAAGGCGGCCCTAAACTGCTGAGCCACCAGGGCTGCTCACTGGTAATATTTTAAATGTATTATGCCAAACATTTTGGTAAGTATTTTTTAGGCACTATCTCATTGAATCCCCATAATAACAAAGATGTTGCAATAATTTTCATTTTAGAAGAGAAAATGTAAGTTTAACTTAACTAATCTGAACTCTCACAACTAACGGAACCAGGGTTTGGACCCAGGCAATTTGAGTTCAGCCTCCAGGCTCTTAGCCGACTCATGGCACCATTTTCCTGAGTGAGTAATTAGTCCAGCTTCTCACAACCTCCTTCACTGTCCCATCTATCATGAAAAACTGTGGCCAATTCTGGTCGACAACAAGAGTGGGGCTTCTCATTTTCGTTCCATTTTTAGTGTTGGTGTATAATCACCCACCTCTCACTACGGGTAGTCCATAGAGAAGAATGCCTTAAGTACAAGAGCCGACGTGAACCTAGCAAGGCTTCTCCACCCTTGTCCACAGCCAGTTTGGACTGGTTGCACCTTGGGATTAGTAATAAGGGAAGGAAAGCTGTGGGTAGGGGCAGGGCATCTGAAGTGTTTTGGCAACACAAGGGTTCTAGAGGGTTGCTAAGGAATATCAATGTTTTGTCTCTCAGAGTTAATGTGATGCCTCCCTTATGTCAGTCTAGGTAATTAAGAAGATAATTTATGATGTTGTAGGCATGATTCTCTTTTAAGATAGAAGCCCTTTTTCCTCATAAAATATTCAACAGCAAGTTATTATCCTTTTGCCAAATTTCATAGGAACTTGTAAGAATTACTGAAAAATAAGATGGCAATAATTTAATTTTGTTAAGGCAAAATAAGTCAACCTTAAGTTGTATACCTAGCTCTATTGCTAGTGTATCAAAAGTTACCATAGCCCTCTAATTCCTTCCCACATTATCATGGAACAAATAGATATAAAATACCACCTGCTTCCCCAAAATTTCCCAGAAACTTGAGTATCTTCACATAGACATCTGTTATAACCTGGCACATCAGATACTTATTAATTAATTAATAATTGATAATTAATAATTAATTCTTATGAATAACTTATATAGATATTTACCTCTTTAACGTTCAACTAAGGAAGACTTCTGTTTAATGAACAGTTGCCTAGATATTTAACTGCCTGACTTAGAATATTTTAGCAGTTGACACCCACGAATTCTAATTCTGTATAAGGCTACTTCTTGATTATGTTGGGAATTAGTTTATTTATTTTGTGCAACTAGAAAGCTATTGTAATTCATGATTCAATGATATTATTGCAATCATGTACTTGATAAAGATAAGCACAATACTTGGGAGCATGAGTATTTTAGAGATATGGATTAATGAGGATCTAATATTCTTTTTTTTTTAGGATCTAATATTCTTAAATGCTTGAATCTGTAAATAAGGTAGAACTGAAACTGAGTCATTTAATGATTAATTTATACAACACTGAGGTACTTATGTACAAATGCTGTGTTCAAGGTGTTGTGCAATGTTTAAAAATTATTCAGAAGTAGATACTTTCATCAAGAAATTTACATTCTTGGGCAGCCCGGGTGGCTCAGTGGTTTAGCACCGCCTTCAGCCCAGGGCATGATCTTGGAGACCCGGGGTCGAGTCCTGCGTCGGGCTCCCTGCATGGAGCCTGCTTCTCCCTCTGCCTGTGTCTCTGCCTATCTCTCTCTCTCTGTGTCTCTCATGAATAAATAAATAAAATCTTAAAAAAAAAGAAATTTACATTCTCATAGAGAAAGAAAGCCATCCTCGTAATTATATAGTCTAAGAAAGTGATAAATGTCATTCCTGAGGCACAAAAGAAGGTTCTATGAGAGTTGAGGGGAGATAGGAAGCAGTTGTATCTAGCTGATGTGGGTGGGAGAGGCTCTGACATAGCATTTGAGTAGAGTATGTTAGATAGTTGCTGGGGAGCAGGCGAGTGGGGAGAAAGGGTATTGAAGTTACAGGCTCCATGTGAGCAAAGACCTGGAAGCAGAAAATTGGGACATTATTTAGAACAGCGATTCTGGAATCCTAGTTGTCACACGAGTAGGGGAAATAAAATAGGGAAAACAGGATGAGAATAAGTCTTCAATAAAAAAAATTCTGAATGGCAGGACAAGGGGTTTGGAATTTACTATGTATTGGGATGGAAAGCAAGGGAAAGTGTTGAGAGGATTAATAGAGCTAAAACCATGTTTTAAGAAATTTAATGTAGCCTAACTGTGTAATAGACATTGAAGGAGGAACACTTGAATGGGGGATGATCAGTTAGGCTATGAGTCATACATAACACCAAGAGAGCTTGAGCAAGGGGGAGCAGAGGGTGGGGATGTCAGAGATACAAGGAGTTAAAATTGGTAGGACTTGGCAACTGGTGACGTGTATGTGGGAGAGGAAGGGGCCAAATGTGAGTACAGGGCTTTTATGCTTAGGTAGAGCAGAATTGCCAAGAGACACAAGAAATTCAGGAGAAGAAAGAAAGAATTTGGTAGGGGAGATTATGGATTCACACTAAGTTTGAGGTGTCTTTGGGACAACCAGATGGAGTTATTTGGTGGGCAGGTGAAACACTGGTTGGAGAGAGATGAGGGGTCAGAGCTAGAGATAAGGTTGTGTGAGTTTCTGAAGGAATGGCTGAAGTCAGAAGACTGTTAGAACATGACTGGGGAGATGTTTATGAAAAGAGGAGAGCTAAGGACAGATCCTTCATGAAGCACCTACATTGAAGGGGTACAAGAGGAAGGGAATCCATATGGCATTTTATTTTGGGGTCAATCAGATATTATTTATAATAGAACTTGGCAACAGAATTAGGCTAATTCGATTAGTCAAATTGTTTCAGATTCATTCCGCTAGAAGCTTATCTTAAAATTTCATGACTAGCTTTGCTGACATTTTCATTGCTTGAGGTCTCCAAAGAACAGTAAAAGCAGCTGCTTATTTGTATCTAAGTACTACCAGCAATACAGAACTTCTTGGTGATGTGCAAATAACAGTAACCTGGAAAGAAAGGGATGTGCTAACACACTATTTCTAGGAAAGAATCCCGGGCATAGTTAGAGGTTTACTAGATTTCATTGAAACTAGGTTTCTAAAATTCTTGAAAACTTCTTTATTTTTATTTATTTTTATTTTATTTTTTATTTTTTTTTCTTGAAAACTTCTTAAAAAAAATTCTTGGAAAAGGGACAAGCATTTCAAGAGGGAAGACAGACCTCGAAGCCTGGGCAGTTTAGAAGTGGAA